CAAGTAACAAGTATTGAAATTTGTCCTAAAAACAAAAAATAATAGCTGAAACATGCACCTTAAGAGTGAAAGCTCGTCCATCACGCCCATCAGGAAACAATACAGTCAACAACTTTTTATCTTCTCTAACAACAACACTGCAAAGAAGAGGAACTATAAGCAAGACTATAATCGCAAACCATAATAAAAAACATGTAATTGCTATCCAGACCTTCCGGAACTGTTCAAGTCAATACCCCCCAAAGTCAAATTAATTTCACCACCTCTTTGTGGTAGGGCACTCTGCAAGAAAAAGCAATAAGCCTTTGTTTTAATTAACTTCTGAAAATAAACTTTTAACGATCATTCAAACATTAAAGGAAAGACCATTATCAGTTTTCCTCTTTATATGGCAAGGCACATCAAGAAGTAAGAAAATCTAAAAAATTCATAACATGATGGTCTGCAACCGCTCCCTCAAATTTCAGTGATGACTGTGTCCCGCAGTGTTCCATGAAATCAATCTTATCCTGATCTTCCTATTCTATGTGCAACAATCCTGAATGATTTAATATATACTATTAAACCATTCCAACAGTTAAAGCATTGAAAAGACAAGGTACATACATATGCATAAAAAGTGAGGGGAAAACATCTAAAAAATTGAATATGGTGCAACACCAATAAATGCCACACGACTATGAACTTAATTATAAGACAACAGATTCCTAATGACTTTGGCATAGCATAGAAGTTAAGAACAGTAACAGATGAAATTCAGGAAGAAAAAATGCCATACTATAATTACTAAAATAATGGAAACAGTGGTAAGAACTAACAGGATCACTTTTAAAGAACACCAAGGATGTGCGTGTGAGGATAAACCACCTCTTCTTCCAAGATTTCCAACCGATCCCTGCAGAAGTTCAAAAATTATAAAATATTTTGAGCCAAACCATGTCGATAGCAGAATCAAAGGAGTGTTTAAAAAACACTGTCATATAACTAGGCCACACACATCAGAGAGGTGATTACCGAGAAAAATGAATGCATGAGACCTCAATCCAGATCTCGATGGCAACAAAATATTAATATGAAAGATGGATGTCCTCCAAGATTTAAATATTATAATCGATGGAGAAAAACATGATTCTTCACTTCAAGAACACATGTTGAAAAATTAATACCTATACCACCAATAAAGAAGAACAAACACTTGAACATGATTTTCCAAGAAGATAAAGAACATACGTATGCTAATACATAGATACCTATTTACAGGTGTAATGCTGATAGAGATATGTGCATATACAAACTACCGATGCAATTTATACACAAAAAGCTATTCCAAATAAACAACCTGCATTTCCTTATCACTATAAATAAATAGATATAAGCATGAGTTAAAGATATAGAAGTTATGGGCAAATAGTAAACTATTGATGTGAGTTTTCACTATGAAAATAGTTTAAAGGGAGATAGGAACGAAACAGTGGTCAAATACACTACAAACCTTTTGAGGATATGAAAAGAGGGCCACTCTTGAAAACCTGTGAAACTGTCACATATCAAAAGCCAAAAACGAGCACCAAATGCCTAGTACAAAACTAATTATTCTCTTGCAAAAAAGAGCTTTTAATCAATTTAAGGGAGCAATTATGGCTTCACCACCAAAACCCAAAATTTTATTGTTGTACTATCAGTTGATGCTATGCAAATCGATCAATTAGAGATTGAAGCAACGCTTGTTTACAATTACTAACTACTGATTGAATGTTTATACAGTTATTATTGCTACTGTACTATGTTGGTTTTTCCTCGAGAATTGTGAACTACCTTGAAGTGGTGACAACACATGTATTTACCAGCTGATGTTAACATGTGACAGTAGAAAGCAAAACAATTCAATGTCATACCAAGCAGCGGGAAAATATGTTAGATTGTGGACCATAAGTTGAGGTATACAACATCATCCGATAACTAAAATCTCTATGACAAGGTTGAAGAATATATTACGCTTTGCAACTCTTAAATTCATTTTTTTAAATGTAGCAATGGGACTGGAATAAAGTGTAAATTCATAAATTTCAGAAGAAAATGTTGAAGAATTTCTGATCCTCCGCATTTTTCTATTCCTTATTTTATGTATCTATCCATCTTGATTTCATTTTATTTTACATAATGTTTTTTAACTGACCAAATTATGTACTCGATAGCACGAGAACTTTCTCTTTCTAACATAATTAGAAGCCGATTTTGTAGAATTCCTCCAAATCCAATTAAGGAGATGAGGAGGGGGAGTATTTGGCTCATGCATGCTGATATAGATTTTTGTAAGGATACAAAATTATTAACCTGAAGAAAAAGTTATATATTGAAACAATAAAAGCACAAATTTTATTTAAAAATTTATTTTAGTTACTTACATATAGAAAATTCAAAACTACAATGCATAGTAAAATTTTCCATGCTTCCAATGACGCCCCGTGTGAACAGAACAACATTATTGATTTATTATATTTCAAGTTTTCAAAATTTTTGCTACATTGATTCTCTCAGACTGTTTCTTTCTTTCAAATAGAATGATAATAATAATATTACACAAAACAAGTTGGACTGAAGTTCAATTTAAAAATCTCAAAAATAAAATTTAACTTCTACCAAAAATGGTAATTTAAGGCCTTAATCAAAAGTTCAATATCTGTAACTTCTTACAATCAATCCAAGTAAAGCTCAAAACAGAAGATCCCTAAAACTTTCTTTTTATTCACATTCCATTTTCTCAGAAACCAAACAGAAAATAAAAAGGATTTAAAAAAATATGTTACCGTGTTGGAGGCTCCGTTTCTGGGCCGTTCAAATGCTGCTAACGAAGCCGACATTTCCGCAGATTAACATTGAAATATACAGTCAATTAAATGGGGGGGGGGGACAACTGCCTCAGCATTTCAACTCTCAGCGAATCACTCGTTGTTCGACATTGAGTCAACACAGTCGATCGACAAGTTAACTCCAACCCAGGCAAGATCTAAAAACGTGGAGCAAATAATAATCGAACCTTAAGCTTAGGGTTTTTCCATAGTCTAACAAAAGAGAAATGGAGACAATAAAGAACAATGAATCACCAACCAGAAGAACAACTACACTCCATAAATAATACCTTACCTCTCATCTCTTTTAATTTTTCAAAATGAGAAATTAATAATTTATGTATGATACAACATAATATAATGCTATATATTTTGGATTAGATGGAAAGCAACGGTGCTTGTCTTAGTAATATGGAAATGAGAGAGAGAGAGAGAAAGGGTGTTTGCTTTTCACATACTTCACTGCTTCTAGAGAGAGAAAATAGTGGTGAAATAGCTATGTTTATCTAAAGTCGGTTTTACTCCAAACCCAAGTATTATACAACTAAAGGCTTAAACTTCAAAAGGTGTCTAACGTATACCTTTTTTTTAAGTTTGGTACCTAATGTTTTTTGTTTTAGTTTTGTGTCTAACATTTTATTTTGTAACTCAGTTTGAGTTAAGTCGTGACGGGTCATTAATTTCGACTGTTAAATACCACTTGACATGGGTATAATATAAAAAATGATTTTCCCTCTTTCTTCTATTCCTTCTCACATTCTCATCTTCCTCAAACCAAAACAAAATATGATTTTCCCTTTCTTCTTACCTTTGTTTCTCCTCTTCCCTCTCTTCCCCTTCACTCTCTTCCCATGCAATCGGTCTAACATTCATCGGGGTTAAAATTTAGTTGGCAATCAGACGTCCACGAAGAGCCTTGGAGTAACAATGGTTCATCACCAGTGAAGTTTTTAACTTCATTGATGACCAAGGCCAAGCTTTATTAGCATGGAATAAGAGATTAAACTCCACTAAAGAGGCACTAAAGTTCATCAATGGAGTAACAATGGTTCATCACCAGTGAAACCATTATTATTTCTTTGTTTTCCTTATCCCATCGTGCATCGTTCATATCTTTCAAAAGGGTTAACATCGTTCACGTTGTGGTTAATTACCGGTGAAGTCATCTATCGCCCCGTCGTTCCGTCGTTGCGAACTTCCCCTCACTTGGTCGTTTGATCATCATTCATTTTTTCTCGATAATAAAATCGTGAGTTATGTCGCCGCCACACTTCGAGCTCGTGGTCGTTCGATGGTGGCTTCGTGAGGAAGAGTTAAATCAGTGTGTTCTCTCTTGTTGGGGTGCTGCTACTAGGGGTCTTCAAATTTTCGAACTAATTCGGTTAACCGACCGAATCGAATTAGTTCGGTTAATTCGGTCAGCCACCAAATTAGTTCGGTCGGTTAACGGTTAAGAAAATTTTTAGAATTCGATTAACGGTTAATTCGGTTCAAAATCGGTTAATTAACCGAATTAATCGAAATTAAATTTTAAATATTAAATATAGTATATATAACATATGGGCTCAGCCTAAACCATTTAAAACTCAATTAATAATTTAAGATCCAATAAATTTTAAACCTAAATCAATATTAATTAATTAAAAATTTATATAAATTTTTTTTATATAAAAAATTTATTTTATAATATATATTATTTAAATTAATTGTAAATATTTTTTTGAATTAAAAAAATTAAATATATTATATATAACATATGGACTCAGCCAAAACCATTTAAAACTCAATTAATAATTTAAGATTCAATAACTTTTAAACATAAATCAATATTAATTAATTAAAAAATTAATATAAAATTTTTATTTTATAATTATATATTATTTAAATTAATTAGAAACTGTTTTTTAAATTAAAAGCATTTAATTTTTATATAAATTAGAAAAAAAATTAAAAAATTTTGTTAATTCGAAAATTAACCGAAATTCATTTGGTTCGATTAATATTTTCGAAAAAAAAGTTCGATTCGATTAACGGTTAAAAAAAAAAGATCGGTTCATTCGGTTAATGATAATTCGATTCGGTCGACTGTCGAATTAACCGAATGAACAACCATAACTGCTACCATCTTTTGATAGCACTGGGTACACACATATGGGCTACCATTATTCTTGCTATGATACCGCCGACCGTTTAATTCGTTCTCATCGTCGGGGCAAGTGTGTGGGAGGTCAAACCGACCAGTTATCGCCGCACTTCGTTTCTAGTAATCGTGGTTGTGTTGCCAACAAATTGATTATGGTCGAACTGACAATCTGTAACCATACCAACAAAGCTTTATGTGTATAAAAATGTTTTGAGGTTAATACAGTAAAATGGTTCATTGTTTATTGAGGTTCACTGAGAGCATTTGAATATGAAAAGGAGAAATAATAGTTGGGGAAGTTGAGCCATGTAGGGATGTTGCAGAGTGACGGGAAAAAGGAAGGAAATAGAGAGAATTAATTAATTTATTATTTTTTAAATTATAAAATTTATTTTTTAATATTAAATAAATGTCGTGTGGCATTAAAGGTCGAAATTAATGGTCAATCACGGCCAGACCTAAACTGAGTTACAGAATAAAACGTTAAACATCAAACTTGAACGAAAAAAATATTAGGTACCAAACTAAAAAAAACCGTACGTTGTACTCCTTTTTTTATGTTTAAGCCTACAACTAAATATCAAATGTATATTTGATGATATTTTCATACAATTTAATTATTATTATTATATTAATATTTTTAATAATGCTATTTCCATATAAAAAAGTGTTACTTATATTTTTAACATATTATTTGTAAACATAGTATGATAAACGTTTAACGTATAAATTTTATAAACATAAAATAGTATTTCTATAATATAATTAAAATTTTAAATAATTTAGTTTAATTGTTCATAATTTGTTTTAATATTAGAAAAATCAAAAACAAAATATTTGAAAAAAAAAAGAAATTAATGGGTACTGATGGATACAAGTCAATAAGATTAATATAGCCATAAACCGAATATATATGATACAGTAGAAACTCTTTAAATTAATACTCGGTAAATTAATAAACTCTCTAAAATAATAAATTTGTCCGGTCTCGACTTGGGCCAATGTAAAAAATTAAAAAACTCGATAAAATAATAAGATAATAATTTTTCGTGAGATTCTTTTATAATTATCAGTCCCAAAAAAATCATAAATTAATAATTCATAAAAACTGAAAAAAAATATATTACAATCTATTGAAATATGATTCAATAGTTGTCTGTTTTCCTTTAAAGTTCAAGTCTATTTGGAGTTCATTATTAATTTAACTCATCTCTTGCAACGTAATTCTAAGAGGCATAGACTAATTTGCCTTTTTGTTTGGTATATACAGTATAATTACTTAAAAACTCTTTAAATTAATAATTATTAATTTATCAATAAATTAATAACTCTCTAAATTAATAAATTTTTCCGGCCATGACATTATTAATTTATAGAATTTTAGCTGTAGTTAGGAATTCGTAAAATAGGTTTAACATAAAAAATATCTAAATTATGTAATTTTTTCTAGTTAGATGTTTAATTTTTTTATAGTTAATATAAATATTTAATATTTTTGACATTATCATTTTAAGTAGATTCATTAAAAATCAATCAACTAATTAATATTTGACAAGTGATCAGATTTTTCATCTCCTTCAATTTTAAAAAATATTATTATAATTTTTTTTAAAAATATAAATTTTTCTTAATTCTAAAAAAAGTTCATAAACATTAAAATAATCCTTTAATTTCATCATCAACCACTATCATCGTCGACGATCACTCACTCATCTAACGACCACTTATATGTCGATTGAGATAAATATTTATCTTTAAAATTAGGGATTTGAGTTTAAAGATTTTGAGATTTTGAGGATTGATGTTACGGGTTACGGGAGATGATGGGTGGGTAGTCGATTGACGGAGTCGGTCGACGAGTGGGATTGATGTTTTGGGATCAAAGATTTTGGGGCTTATTTGAGACTTTAAAGAAAGTTTGAGTTATTTTTTTTTAAATAATAATTCTAAAAATGTATAAACACGTCATGTGTCACATTTTAAGTGATTAACAGTCTTTTTAACAGTAGTAATATACTAAACACTTAAAATGATAACGTCAAAAATTTTAAGCATCTATATTAATCAAACAAAAGTTTAAATACTTAAATAGAAAAAGAGATATAGTTTAGAAAAAATATATTAAACTTATAAAATTAAGCACGAATCAAGTGGTCTCCTTGGTAAAAGAATTGTTATTATTCATTGAAGATTCGAGTTCGAACACCATAAATATCGAGGGTGTGAGCATTTAATGTCAAAAGGTTAAGATTTGTCTATGAGCAGATACTGCCTTGTAGGGGTGCTTAATGAGTTGGGCAACTCGTGAGCAACTCAAACTTAATTCGGTTAAAGCTTGATAAAAACTCAACTCGGATTGACTCGACTCGAGTCCTTAACGAGTTAAGTCGAGCAAAGTCCAACTCGACTCAATAAGTCCTCAAGCAGCTCGTTAATTTTTTATACACTTTTTAATAGTTATCTTAAAAACATATTTCATACACTCAAAAATCAAACCTTATCTATTATTTTAATATATTTGTGGATTGTTACTTATATAGTATTAGTATGTTTTACCTATAATTACGAAATTAAGGTATTCATAAAAATAATAATAAGGTAAAAATTTCGTTGAACTTAACGAACAACAAGACGAGCAATGAGCATCGAATTTAATTAGTAACGAGCTTTATAAGCAGCGAGTTGAGCAACAATTTTTTTAATGAGCACGAATCGAGCAAAAAATTAATGATTATAACGAGCAACAAATTTTTTAACGAGCACGAGTCGAACACTGTCCAACTCGCGAGATAAACACCCTTACAACCTTGTGCATATCTCAGAATAATAAAAAAAATTAAAGTAATTAATTGAAAGGAAAATAACAAAATATTTATACTCTAAATTACATATTCAAACCAAATTCACCCTTTTTATATATTTACTCTTTTTATAAACAGATTTGGACTACTGGGTATTTCTAGTTTGACTTGGATAACTAAACATGTAGACAAAAAAGGACGAGTTCGCGAAATTTTTGCCGGTTTCCTTTTTTTCCCTCTCTCTCTCTCTAGGGTTTTGCACACCAACGTTCAACAAAACGCGAAGAGGAAGCTCGATACTCGTTTCCCAGCTGTAAGTTTTTTTTCTTTCTTTCTTGTTTCTCTTCAGAATTTTTTTGAATAACATGTTTCTATAACAAATTTAAAGGTTTTTCTGTTATTCTTCTTGTCCTTATTTTCTATCAATTATTACACCTATTTTGCAAGCTATTTCTCGGAGCATTATTTTATTTTTACAGGTTTCTTATGAGATTCGTTTATCTAATCTCACTTGATGTTTATTTATTTTTCATAGGCTCGCATAAAGAAGATTATGCATGCTGATGAAGATGTTGGAAAAATTGCCATGGCTGTTCCTCTGCTTGTTTGTAAGTACTTTTGAATTTGTTTCTCATAAATTTATTCATTGTGTAAATATACATATGTTGGCGATTTTTTTATGTTTTTTCCCGTAATAGGAACTTCCCCTTGGTTAGAACTTAAATTTTCAGTTCATGCTCTTCGGTCTGATTTGGGTGAAGTCTTAAGTGGAATTTCTCATAATTTTGATTAATTAATGTTTGCAGCTAAAGCATTGGAATTATTTCTGCAAGATTTATGTGATCGAACATATGAAATTACTTTGATGAAGGGTGCTAAGACTATGAATTCTTCGCATTTGTAAGCAAAATTTTGTCCTTAATCCTTTTTTGTTGAGTAAAGGTCTTTTACTTGACATTAGGTTAACTCTGTTGGTTTTGATATTACAGGAAGCAGTGTGTACAGGGATTTAATGTTTTCGATTTCTCAGAGAAATAATTGGTAAGGTGCCGGACCTAGGTGGTTTGGATGCTGCTGGCGAGGAGCTTAATGTTCCGAAAAAAAGGTATGAAAGGATATATACTTAATAGCTGAATGTATAAAACAAGCTGGTCATCCATAATGTTGTTAACACACATATATCTTTATTTTCCAGGAAAGTAGATGATGATGACGAGCCAAAGAAGAGCAGAATGGTATGTCAATTCATTCTTTGATACTTGGCATGGATATGCCCCTTTATACTATCCAACCTGGAAAACTGTTTTGGTTCAATTGTAAAATAATGGTGTTATAAGAAGAGTGCACTTGCAAGCTAGAATATTTATTTTGCTGCTTTTGGTGACCATTCATGATACTAGGTGCATTTACAACCTGAAAATTTTGTTCACCACAACCTTTTGTTTTTTGTAGCATGAGACGTTCCATGTACTAGCTGTGGAAGAGGACGCGGTTGCTGCAGAGGAAGAGGGAATCGAACAGCAGGGAGAGAGAATGCTGCACATCATGGAAAGTTTGAAGATGACCCAGACATTTCTTGTTTTGAAGAAGAGCATACTTTAAGCTTTGACAGGCAGAGTCCTACTGATGTGGTGGGGTCTGATGAGTTGAAGAAACATAATCCAACAGGCAAGAACTTTGAAGCTCCGGTTCTAAACATTGACCTCAATGCAGACTTGGATGAGAATGGAGACTCTATCGCATCCAAGTCTAATTGCTAATTCGAACAGGGAAATAGATGAAGAACTTGGCTGGTCCCTGTTCGAAATAGATGATGAACCGAGAGCAGATAGCATACCTGAAAATAAAGACAAATACCCTGGCTGGTTACTTACTGAAATCGAGAAGATGGCCATCGATCCTGTTCTAATTGCTAATTCGAACAGGGAAATAGATGATGAAGACTACGATGAAGAAGGATAAGTGATTGAATTTCTCCTTTAACGTTTTGTATTATCTGGTACATGCGCAGTTCTACATTAGATGTTAAAGAAAAATGTGGTAGGAATCTTAGAAAGAGAAGGAAACACTGAAAGGTACATTCTAGATTAGTCTGATGCTTTTAGCATTTATTTTTCATGTCTCTAGGAATTTGTGAAATAGTTTTCCAATTCTTTGAGTTCTCTGATGTCCAAGGATATTGGCGATATCATTCGACGTGTTATTTTAAGTTGGAAAACTAGGTTTTCATGCTAATCTATAATGATATTTTGTTGATGTAATTGAGGACATCCCGCATCTATAAATAGCGTTCAAGAATCAGAAGCAAGCTGCTGCTCCTGTAACTTAGTTTCTTTTGCAAGCTAAAATAGGGCAGCCCTTTAGGCTTTTATGCTGTCATGATGTCTATTTTTCCGTTGGTTCCATCCCCTCCGTATCACAGAAATGGTGGTCGATTTGATCAATTACTTCAATTAGACGAAAGATATTTTTTTAAAAACAAATATTATTTTGTTTTAATGGAAAATTAATTTTTATGCACAAATATTTTATTTAAAACATAAAAGGGAATGGATCTTTAATTTGAATTCGGACTTTTAATTATAGTAATTCAATTTGAAGAATTTTATGTCTATAATAATAAGGAACTGAAAAATAGACAAAATTCATAATCGATATGTCAATGACTACTGACTTGATGAAGAAAAAAAATTGGTATAGTAAACGAAAATTTAACAAGTGAGAATGATTGATTTTAACTATAATGATATTTTTCTATTTTTAATACTTTAAAAAATAAAATATTTTAAATTAATTGGATAAAATCAGTTAGATTCATATAATGTCTAATAATTTTAAGCTTTCATTTAATTTTAATTGTAAAAAATCAATATTAATATAAAATTACTCTTTAAGATAAATATTTGGTGAATAGTAAACAATTTGAGTTCGCATTAAAATAAATATTCGGCGAAAGAGAAGACTTCATCTCCAAAGTGACAGGTTTGTTGAGGAAATAATGTTGACTAATAATATGAATATTAATACCACTGCTTGTACGCCTCGCATTCCCAGGTATTGGACTCGGCCTCTATCTGGTTGGATTGAGGAGAATTCGGATGGAGCTGTTCGAACCAACGATCACATGGCGGCTGTAGGTGGTCTTCTTCGCAACTCTAAGGGAGAATGAATTTTCAGATTCACGCGGAGCTTAGGTTGTTGCTCAGTCCTTATTGCTGAACTTTGGAGAGCGCATGTTCTGCTACGCCTGGAGACTAGGGATCCGCTTCTTGGAATTGGAAACAGATAATCTCGAGGTCCGCTTCGTAGTCTCATCTAACTAGACAAGAATTGGAAACAGATAATCTCGAGGTCCGCTTCGTGGCCTCATCTAACTAGACAAGCTGATTACTTGTATTATGGATATTAATTATTATTACGCAAATGAGGTTAACAATTCTGAGTCCGGATTTCAGGGTTGAGTCACTCTCATGCCAAGTTAAATTTGGCAACTCTTTCCTGGACTTAGCGATATACCTCCAAATATGTAACCTAGTATGTGTGTGTGTGTATACACACACATTCTACACTAATCTCTTATAATAATATATAATGATAAAAGGCCCACAAGAGTTATAGTCCCCTGCACAGGCTGATTTCCATGGCAGCCAAATGTCTAGAAAAATAGTACCACTAACCACTCGTTTTTCTGAAAAGTTTAAAATAATCCTCCATTTGTATTATCAATAAATTCCACTAACCACTCACTTCATTGCTAGCTGATAATTATAATTATTACATATCACAGTCTCTTTTTGATGTTTAGTCATCTTAGTAGTTGTACATTGACTGGCCTACTAAATAATAGGCACACACACAGCCTATGGGAAACTGATATTAACATTATCATCAACAATTATCTTCAGCCAATGCAGATCAAAATGAACAATTTCAGATATGAAACCTAATAACTCGTCCATATGATCACCATCAACAAACACAATACATACATATACGTATATGGAAGAGTTGTGAGAGTGTTTGGTATAAGCCTGCATGACTCCCCTCATGCCACGTAAGAAGGCAGCCAACAGTATTTGACGAGCTTCTTAGATGGCATTCAGGGAGCTTCGCCAACAAATCCCGTAAAATGCAATCTTGCTACTTAAATAAAGCTAACCAGACATACTTACAGTACACTTCTGTTGAGAATAAAGGAAAAAGAAAATTTACGGACAGCTTTCTGATATTGTTATTCTCTTGTATTTCCATGGAAGCTGAGAGTAAACGAAGGAAGGAGAATTTAAAGAAGGAAATAAAAGGAAAGGAAGCAAAGGCAACAAACACCCAGTTTCTTTTTATTTGGTTTTGGTCATTACAATTTACAAAGTCCCTATTTGGCAATTTGTAACAAACAGTTAATTTCATGCATAAAAACCAGAAGACACTAGGTTTTATAGAGTTTGACATAAATAAAATTTTAGGGTGGGTATAATTAATAAATAAATAATTATCGAAGAAAATTTAAATTTCAAAACAAACACGAACCTACTCTCACTTAACCATGGATCACCACTATTCAAAGACAATCTATTTTAAATTAAATTATGTGACTATGATATCGTTATCTTGAGAGGCGGAATTCATGGGGTCAAGGGAAGCTTTGGCCAAGGCAATTATTTCTTTAAGTATTAATATATATATATATATATATATATATATATATATATATATTAGATTTTGTATCGTTTTTTCTAGATCAAATTAAATTTTTTCGATTATGTTTAACCGGTGGTAGCAATTGTTTTAGTGCTGGTTGTTGACCGCATGTTTTATTTTTTTAATATTTTAATAAGAATAATTTTGCATATGTAGTACGTTTTTCTCTTTTTTTGTGGCAGTTTTTTGTCTTCTTCCTCGATCATTTGACATATTTTAATTTTATCTTTTCTCACGGTTGGATTTGACGACACCGCGACTGATCAATATGACATAATCCTGTTGATCTTTTATGTCATGGAACCTTGGATTGAATTTGGATATATAATTTTCATTCGTGGATTGTTTCTCGCAATATTCGGCTCTTATTTGTGGTTCTCGATTTTTTTCAATAGCTTAATCTTTATTTATGGTTTGTTTGTCGATACAATCAGATTTGTTCGTATCTATTTTTGTTTGAGTTTTTTGGTTAAGTTTTTAACATTTTCCATGTATGACTTTACATGATCCAAAGTGACTAATTTCAACCAACAACCAGTTGGTCTAGTGGGATAAGACATTAGATCCCTTAAGCAAGGTAAGTGATTCAAATCCTGACGATTTCGATTGGAGCAAATTGGGTTGGGAGGGTCGCCATTGCCTCAGTAGTACCCGATCCGGATTCGTCGATCAATAGATGGATATAGGTGGTTATACCAGAAAGTGACTAATTTCAATATGATAGGAAAATATCCAAATTATATATTTAATTTTATGATAATAGATATAAACAATAATTGTAATTTTGAATATTTTTTTTAATAAGACTAGCTAGCTGCTTCTATTAGCGGTAGAGCAAGGGGATGGAGCAGAGAGACATAAAGTATTCTTCAGTTACTGCATTTATTTCTCCACCAATTAATACATATTTTATTTTATTTTTTTATTAAACTAAAGTAATTATAAAATAGTGTATGTTCTAAATACTCTCAACCATTTGACAATGAATGCTTAATCACTCTATTGCAGTCGCTGGTGCTCGAACATGTGACCTAAAGGAACAACAATTCCTTAAATCACTGAGGTAAATTGGTTCGTGCATATTTTATTTTAAATATCTATTTAGGCTTTTTAATTATTTAATTTAATTTTAAAAATAACTTAAAAATTATCATATATTTTAATATGAAAAACCGAGTCTATAAATTTTTTTTATTGATACATAGTTTCTAATCTATCAATATACGATATGTACCTTTAAAAACGAACCTTTAAATTGTGTCTCAACTATTTCGTTGGTACATGCCTTTCAATAGTTTGCCCTTTATTGTTTTTGGTCTGCACGTGTGTAGCTAATGAAAATCAGTAGAGCAACCATTGCTAACATGAGATGCGAGTGCTGATATTCTATGTAAAAGGTAAAAAGGACAAGTATAAACACATGTCGCGTCTGAATGTGTACAAAAGGCACACAAAAAACAATGCCTTGGTGTTGATTTCCATGAGAGCTTAATGGAAAAGAATTATAATAGTAGAAAACCCAATGCAGAATCAAACAGTGTCATTTCCTAATACTACAGACTTTATGATACAATGATAAAACTCAAAAGAATTACAATCTGCAAAAACATGTTTCTAAGGAGATCCTATTTGGTTCCTTGTAGAAGATCCTCCATCTGGTCCGGAAACCATTATCTGCCATTTTCAAAAACATAAATCATTCATTCAAACAGTCAAAAAAAAGAGCAGACATCATAGGTTCATGCTTCATGTAATAACAAGAGAACTGGATCACAACTTACATTGCAGTCGAAGGCGAATCTCCTGGCAAGCATGATGGCTGCATTTCTCTCTCTGTCAGATTCGAATGCTAATACGACCGAAAACCCTTTCTTTGCTTGCCAAAACAATGCCTGGGCAGCCGCGTTTCCACCCCCTCTTACTCCACACAGCTAAAGCAAAAGCATGTAGGGTAAAAGGAAATCGAAACATAGTACCCATATTGGATACGAACGTCGGTAAATTTAATTAATGTTGAAGTATGGTGAGATCATTATCCATATATTTGCATGCAATGCTCTTTCTATGCAATATACACTTTTTTCCAACAAATAACACCCAAAATATAAGACTGAAAAAGGAACAATGTGAAGAATAAAGCGTAAGTATCCTCGAACAACATTACACCTAAGCATATTTCATCAATGAGAAATTCACAAGACTTAATATACCTGCATTGAGCTGGAATAATATTCTTTGGCGATCGTCGTCTTTCCTTTGCATAGCTTCATCCTATCTTTCCAACATGTAGTACATGAATAGATTCAGATGGGTGATCCGCACCATTCATTTGGGTAACAACTACCTATAAAATAATAACAGGGGTAATGCTATTATATTAGAAGCTCAAATAAACAGATTATGCGTTCAAAATCATAATGGGAATATGCCATCCATGATTCCATTCATTTACAACAAATGCATATCAAACAAACAAGAATTAGATGCAAAG